GCCGATGCTGCTCACGCCAATGACGATGATGGTGTCCACGCGTCGGTGATGAAGTTATTCAATGGGATTTCCGCGCACGCGCGCAGCCGACGCGCGCGAGTGGCCTGGATGGTGCGATTTGATAGAGATCGCGTCACCCTCCCCCCCAGCACGCAGGTGTTCGAATGATTTCGACTTGCGCGCGCGAGGGGTCCGATTGGTCGGGTTCGACGAACATGCCGTTTTCGTTAACGAAATTCGATATGCGCGCGACGGCGCGTACATCTGGTCACACGATTGACAAGGCATTCTGGAACATGGCTGATTTTTCACAAGCGAGTGCGCGCGGGCAGTCTCATTTGCGAGGGATCCGGGAGGCGTCGATCGGGCTGGGCCTGGATTATATGATTTCATCATGTGGATGAACGCCGGGGCAAGACCACACGTAGATGTCACGTCTCCTGGGTTGGGGGTCGAGAATCCCCAGGGGGTAGATCCTCATTCCATTTTAGAGAGGAGAATCTATGCGGCGCACGTCAACCTGCCGAACTTTAGGTTGTCATTTCCATTGCTCGCGCAATCGTCCTGACCCGGAATTTCGTTTGTCGGTCCAGCGCGGCGGCGAGTGCGAAGATTGCTCGGCGCTGGCTAGCGCGCCGCTGCGGCCGCGCTAGCGCGCGCAGGTTCACGCGCCGAGCGGCCGTCTAGTCTGGCGCGACCGACGCGGCCGCGATGGCGCTGACAGCGGGGGGCTTCGCAGCGCGTCTCGCAGGCCGCGCTGACGCGCGGGCACTTCGGTGCGAGTCGGCGACACGGGCGGGCGCGGTATCATGGCGACGTCGACAACGGCGGACACGACAATGATAGTAGCGATGATGCGGGCGACGATGACAATGACCGCGCCGATGCTGATCATGCTTGCGACGATGATGGCGCCCATGCGTTGGCGACGAAGGTTGTGGAAGGACTTCGACATGCTGTTCGCGCGGCCGACAGGCGCAAATGGTTCGCATCGTATTATCCGACATGGGGTCGTACCCTTCCGGGCGCGCGAATTATTTCGCCGCGCGCGCAAGGTGCCCGCTGGGTCGCACTCGCATAAAACAGGTGGCAAACCATGCTTTGTTTCGAATATTCGCAAGAGCGCGCGCGCAGACTGTTTTGAAACACCTGGTGCAAAACCACTGATGTGTTGCATATTTCTGGAAACTCGGTTCTGACATCTCCACGAAACCCAAGTTTTTGACTAATTTCGTCGCGTGCGCGCGACGACGCGCGCGCGTGGACATTGTCATGCTTTTCCCAACCATAGTGTGGTGTTGGATTTTCGTTTTGAAAAGACAGCGCCCCGCGTTACTCCTCCCCCTGCCCCCTCCCCCCCATCCTCCAACCCTTGCCTCTGCCTTCCGCACAGGCCCACCTTGTCGGCACATTCCCCATGTCCTCCGTGGCCCCACAGGGAGGGAGCTCCACCGAAAGGTCCCAGCGACTGCGCTCGCAAGGCACCATCGCGCCCAGTTCGGCACACTTCTCACACGATTCGAAGTCCCACATGGAGCCCCACCGAATGCCCCAATGGCTGCGCCCGCATGGCACCACCGCGCCCATGTCGGTACACCCCATCACACGCTTCGTGGTCCCATAGGGAGCTCCACCGAGGGCCCCAGCGGCTGCGCCCCATGGCACCACCGCGCCCATTCCGGCACACCCCGCACACGCTTGGTGGCCTCATAAGGAGTTCCAACGCCGGACCCAACGGCCGCGCTCGCATGGCACCACCGCGCCCATGTCAGCATACCCCTCGCACACTTCGTGGCTCCATAGGGAGCTCCAGCGAGGGCCCCAGTGGCTGCGCTCGCATGGCACCACCGCTTCCCTGTCGGCACACCCCTCGCACGCTTCGTGGCCCCACAGGGAGCTCCACCGAGGGCCCCAAAGGATGCGCTCGCATGACGCCACCGCGCCCATAGGGAGCTCCACCGAGGGCCCCAGTGGTTGCGGCCGCATGGCGCCACCGCGCCCACGTCGACACACCACCCCGCGCTTCGTGGTTCCATAGGAACTTCCATCGAATGCCTGCGCTCGCATGGCACCACCGCTTCCCAGTTCGGCACACCCGTCACACGATTCGAAGTCCCACAGGGAGTTCCAGCGAGGGCCCCAGTGACTTCGTGCGCATGGCACCACCGCGCCCAGTTCGGCACACCCCCCGTAAGCTTCGTGGCCCCATAGGGAGCTCCAGCGAGTGCCCAATGCCTGCGCTCGCATGACCCCACATTGCCTATTTCGGCACACGTCTCACACGTTTCGTGGCCCCATAGGGAGTTCCACCGAGGTCCCCAGCGGCTGCGCTCGCATGGCGCCACCGCGCCCCCTTCGCCACACCTCTCACACGTTTCGTACGTCCCAGTGGCTGCGCGCATGGCACCACCCCGCCCATTTCGGCATACCCCATCGCACACTTCGTGGCCCCATTGGGAGCTTCATCGATGGCCCCAGTGGCAGCCCTTGCGTGGCGCTACTGCGCCCAGTTTTCACACCCTTCACACCCTTCACACGCGTTCGCATGGCACCGCCGCGCCAATGACGGTACAGCTCTCACAAAACTTGGCCGTTGGGGCAAACGATATGTGACATTTGCTACCCATGGTCTTCGTGCGCGACCTGTATCTAGACTCTCATTATTCAGCATTATGCGAGCATGAGAAAGCAAGTGGAGGATGATGGGTGCGAAGCGGCTAGTCGGTCGAATTGCGGAGCAGTCTGGTTTTACGTGTCCAAGTGGGTTGTTGCGCATATCCAGCACCGCGCCTGGAGAAGCTGCGCAGGAGCGCTATAGCGCGGGACGGTTGTAGCGCTAATTGTTTATTGTGTTGCTTCTCGGAGGTCTCCTGGAGGCCTCTTGGGAGCGGTGTGCTATTCGTAAAGATACGCGGCATTGGGGAGCATTTCGGAACATCCAGGTCCATGCTGAAAAGATAGTGGCTGTGTTCGTTGGGGGGATGTCTTGGCGCCGTCTTGGAGGTCTTGTGCTTGTTTCAACGAGTAGGCATTGTGGCCATCGTGGGTGGGTCTTTCGTTGTTTTGGGGGGCCGTCGTGGAGCGGTCCTGGATCATCTGCAGGGCTTCCTAGGCGAGCATCGGGCCGCCTGGGGGGCCGTCTAGGGGCTCCCTTGGAGCCATCCGAGGAGGCGCTTGGACTGCCAGGGCGCTGCTTGGTGAGGAGCGAAGGCCATCGCTCCAGGGGGCTCCATGGCGCTGTCCGTGGTCGTCGGTTCGTCTTGGTGGGGGGGTGGGGGTTTGGTTTCAATCGGGTCTGTCCCCCTACAGAACCTCAAAATAGCCCAACAATTGATCAAAATTATCAAAGTGCGACCCTACCTAGGAGTTGGAGCATCTAGGAAAGCAACATCTACATCTACACCGACAGCTATGCTGCGCTATGCTATGTCATGCTGCGTTATGCTATGCTGCGCTATGCTATGTTATGCTATGCTATGCTGCACCATGCTATGATATGCTGCGCTATGCTATGGTATGATATGCTACGCTACGCTACGCTGTGCTATGCTGCGCTGTGCTATGCCAAGCTATGATATGATATGATATGCTATGCTATGCTATGCTATGATGCGCCATGAAATGCTATTATATGCTATGATATGCTATGCTATACTAAGCTGCGCTATTATATGTTGCGCTATGCTATGCTATGTTATGCTATGCTATGATATGCTATGCTAATACTGCGCTAAGTTAAGCTGGGCTAAGCTAAACTAGGCCAGGCTAGGCTAAGCTACAGCTAAGCTGAGCGAAGCTAAGCTAAGCTAGGCTAGGCTAGGCTAAGCTGAGCTATGTTATGCTAAGCTAAGCTATGCTAAGCTAAGTTAAGCTAGGCTCAGCTAAGATGAGATAAGCAAAGCTAAGCTAAGGGGGCGCAACTGGGGGAACCGCGGGGCGGATACTGGGGTAACCGCCCGGGGCGGGGTCCACTGCCCGGCCCTTTAAGCACACCGAGTAAGAACCCTTCTAGGCAGAGCCTAGGTAGGGAACATCGTCTGGATATTAGGGAACATCGTCTGGATATGTTTTGAATGTTGTTTTGAACTTTTTGGGGGCATGTTTGGTGTATTTTTTCATTTTTCGCCGAACATCCCCCTTGTAGAGGGGGACAGGCGCGACTTCGGGTTTGGTGTCAGAAGGGGAGTTTGGGCAGTCTTGGGGCGCAGCGTGCCCTGGGGGGGAGCACCAAGCAGGAGCAGGTCCGCACGAGGCGCATCGCCAGGCACTGGAATGCCCGGGAGCGGAGGAGCGTCCATGCGCACACACGTACACATCGATTAGACGTAAGAGCGACCTTTCGCCAGAGTGACCTATGGTGCCGGCACGGATGGGTACCCAGATGGCTGAAAACGAAGCAGTCGCAGCTGCTTGCGCACCCAGGTTTGGTCCCCCCGCGGCCCCCAAAAAGTCGCGCACCAGAGGTCACGCTTACCCAGGGTCGCTCTTTCGTATAGCCGAACACAGAAGTAAGCACACCGACAGGCATGTCAGCCGCGACGGAGCGCGGTGACTGAAGGCAGGTATGGACATGCAGCACGGCGTGGTGGTGGCAAAGCGAGATTTGAGCTTGGGGTGCAGCCAGTGGTTGCAGGTGGTGTGCATGGGACACGTAATCAGCAGAGTGTTGCGCTCTTGCGTTTTGCGCTGTGCACAGGCATCGTGCAGGCTACGAGCGTCAAACACACATGATGTAAATATCCACACTCATGTGTTGGATCTGCCCCGACTCGCACCTTCGCTCGACACGCCCAACGGTCCAACGGTCAGCAGAACCAAGGGAGTGTTGTGTTTTGTGGCGCGCCCGCTGGATTGCTAGGTGAACACTCGAAGCCTTCTCCAACGCTTCGAGGTGAACCCCAGCGCACCAGTGGCGCCAGGATGAGCCACCAGGCCAGTCCATGTGGCTGCTGCCGGGACCCCCCCCGGTTGGTTCACACCCTTTTTGTCCACCCCATCAGGTGAGCGCTGAGCAGTGGGAGGAGTGGAAAGCCAACAGCGTAGACCCGAAGTGCCCCAATGGTGATTACGTCTCTGTTTGTCATGTCGACTAAGTTTGTTTAGGTGCGGATTCCGTTAGTCTGTCAATTGCAAGGGACGGCGAAAATTTGTGCACGTGATATCGAGTGAAAGGCGTTTGCAATTATGTTGACGCGTCGCTGGAAAGAAATCTTTCAGAGGACAGCAAGGAGGGCTTAATAGTAGCATGCGCGTCAGGGGAAGCATGAGGGGTAATGGATAATGCTGCTCATTCGGAAATCTGGACGTGATCCAGCTGTCTGCGGCAAACCGCTTCACCGTGCCAGCGCAGCAGCGAAGTAGGAGGGAGGTTGAGTCTGAGACCACACCAGTTCAGCGCCCTGCATAGACTGTAGTGGATTTTGCAGATTGGAGGGTTCTGAGGGGGGCTTATTTGAGGTCTCGTGGGGCCCTCTAGGGATGCTGTTTGAGGCGCATCCCGAGTCCTGGGCCTCTCTCTCTCTCGCGCGCTCTCTCTCTCTCTCTCTTTCTCTCTCTCTCTCTCTCTATATGTGTGTGTATGTATGTGTACCCCTCTCTCTCTATCCCTCTCTCTCTTTCTCTCTTCCTCCTTCTCTTTCTTATACGTAGACATACGTACTTGTCTGTGTATGCACATATACATTCTAGATGCCCAAAGCTATGCTGTCACTGAGGTGCTTGTACTTCCGGCGGTAAGTCATCGGATACGTCCGCCGAGTGTCGCCTGGTGCCTAGTTGGTGGCTGGACGTCGGCGCCTGGTGGGCGACCCGTGCCTCGGCTCGGCCTGCCAGGATTTCGCCTGGTGGTCGCTCTTGGGCGCCTCGTGGGCGCCCCGTGCGCTGGGCGGGCCTCTGCGGGAGCTCGGGCTGGCGCCTGCCCGGCGGCCAGCCGTGGGCGCCCCGTGGGCACCCCCCGTGTGCTGGGTGGGTGCGGCAGGGTGCCGCCCGGTGTCTTGGGAGCGCCGCCGGGGGGCCCCAGCGCCGATCCGAGAAATCCGCGCGGACCTCCGAGTTGTTATGTTTATGTCACGTTTTGCTCCCCTAACAAATTAATAGGCCAGCTGTGGGGCGGGCGCCGTGGCCCTCGAAAAGCGGCGACACACTCACGAGGACGGCGCTCCTGTCAGTGGGCCGGAAGGCTCCGCCGACTCTCTGTCGGCCTGCCGAAACACACAGCCACAATTCATCCTCGATTCCTCCGAATATGGGGGAAAAGATGGGAGGCGGGGGGGAGAGACGGAAACCCAGCAAATACAGGAAAAGGTGGGGTCTCTTTTCATTTGTGTTTCTTTGTGTGTCCCAGGGCCCCTTCAGTCTTGGGTGGCGGCCGCCCGGGGGTGGCTCGCGGCCGCCCCGTGCGCTGGCCGGGGCCCGCCGAGGTCTCGCCCGGTGGCCGCTCTTAGGGCGCCTCGTGGGCGCCCTGTGCGCAGGCCGGGCCCGCCGAGAGGTCGCGTGCTGGGCGCCCGTGGGCGCCCGCGTAGGGCCCGCGACAGATTGCACCACGTAGCCTTCGCGACATACCTTGCACCACCTACTTTGCCTTAGCTTGCAACAGAGAGGTCGCACCATACACACACACACATATATATATATATATATATAATATATATATATACATATATATTATATATATATATATAGATATATATATATATATATATATATATATATATATATGCTCAGCCCCCCCCCCAGCACCCCGTCCCGCGATAATTCCGATGATCCTCCTCCTCGTCCTCCTCCCGCATCCTCTTACGCGCCTGCGCGGTGCTCGAGATTCGCCGTCGTTCGGGAGCAGTGCTGGTCCTGCCAGGGGGGTCGCGCAGAGTCCGCTGCCCTCGAAGTTGGGTCGCGCAGAGTGCGCTGCCACTTCTATGATGTGAGGCTTGAGAAACGTATTTGGACTCTCCGCGCATTGCTCATTGCTCATTGCTCCTCCTCCTCCTCCTCCTCCTCCTCCTCCTGCTCCTCCAACCCATCCTTCTCACTCTCTTTTTCCTGGTCCTGCACATCATCATCATCATCATCATCATCATCATCATCATCATCATCATCATCATCATCATCATATTCCTTCTCTTACTCCTACCCCTCATCATCCGCCCTCCTCCTTTTACTTGTCCGCCTCCTGATTATCATCATCCTATTCTTCCTCATCGTCATCATCATTGTCATCATCCTCATCATCATCATTATTATCCTCATCATCCTCTTCTTCCTCCGCGCCCTCATATTCCTCATCTTCCTCATCAGCCGCATCATACTATTCATCCTCCTCCTCCTCCTCCTCTTCCTCATCCTCCTCATCCTCATCTTCTTATTTGCCCTCTTCATTCTCACCCTCATCATCCTCATCATCCTGCTCGTCCTCCTCCTCCTACTCCTCTTCATCCTCTTCTTTCTCATCCTCCTCCTACCCCTCACCCTCCTCCCTCCTCAGTTTCCTTGTCCGCCTCCTCATCCTCATATTCCTCTCCCTCCTCCGCCTCAGCCTAACTGGGTGCAACCATCCGTAGTTTGTTATGAATCGAGTGGTTGTTTTTTGTTTGCTACTTCTCTCCCCAGCGCTGCCGCCACAGCACGCCATGCCAGCTGCATCAGCGAAGGCCGTGAAGACTAAAACCGACAGGTGTCGTGATCGCAAGCGCGCCAAGTCCTTGAAGAACTGGATCGCCAAGCCGTGGGTCAAGCAGTACCTGAGGGAGGCTGCGCAGAGACACCTGCGGAAGTATCACAAGACGCGCGCAGCTTTGCGGGGCGAGAAGGCCGCCCTCGTTCAACAGGTCAAGCGCCAGCGCAAGGACCTTTTCAACATGCGTCGCGATGTCTTCGTGGCCGTGGTGCCGGGGTGGACTTAAAACACTTCTTTGGCCCTTAGGCGCATAGCCACAGCAACGTAACAGGCGAACAACGACGTTGTACCGCCCAATACACCACGTCACCAACGGACGACAACCGTAATCCATTAGCAACGCGCAATAGCGCAACCACATCATTAAACACACACACACACACACACACCACCAAACAACAGCAACACCACCAACAACAATACAATGCACAACAGAACCCCCACCCAGCGCGCAGCCGAGAACAACCAGCGCGCAGCCGAGAACAACCAGAAGGCTTTCCAGAAGGCCAAGAGCAAGAACGACAAGCTGGAGCACCTGGTCGAGGAAACGGCGCGCTTGAGGCACGACGGCGCGCCTGAAGGAAGCGAGCAAGGGCTGGCCTTCTAGACAACCAGGAAGCGAGCTTTTGAAAAAAAAGCGCTGCCTGCGAGGGTCGTCTTTGGGCCTCTTGGAGGTCCTCCACGCGACCCCTCGGAAGCGGTTTTCCCAGCGGGCCAGCTCTTGCCCCGCTCGCCTTCCTTTCGGCGCCTCGCCGAAAAAGGCGGCAGGCGCAGAAGGCCAGAGCCCAGGGCAAGGCGGAGGGCGCGGCCGCGGCCACGCAGGAGGGGGCGAAGGAGCGCAAGCGCCTTGAGCAAGCCCTTTCTGAGAAGCAGGCTTGGCTTTGGAACAATCGCACCGTTGAACGCCGACGAACTTCGGCGCTCGCCCAGGCGCGCTCCTGGGAGGGCGTGGCCAAGTCCGTCGGCTTTCAATGTGCGCCCCCATCCAAGGTCAAGCGTTCTTCTCCGAATTGTCAGGCTAAGTACAACAACCTCTTGTCGGAAAAGTGCCGCTTCATCGCTCTGGCCACGGTCGCGCAGCGGGAGAAGTACTTCGAGCTCGCGAAGAAGGCTCGGAGGAGCACCCGTGACGGGTGCTTCGGCGACCAGTAGGCTGGCTGCCGCCGCTAATGCCGAATTCGGTTGCAAGGCGAGAAAACGAGCACAACTCAAAAGACCGCTGCTGGGGCCAGACCTAGTGAAGGCGAGAGGGGCATCCTGTTTTGGATGCCCCTTCCAGGGAATCCCGAGACGACCGGCGAGGCCACCGCCCCCCTCCGCCAGACCACGCCAAGACGGCTCAAGGAGCTTCGGAGACCGCTCCAAGACGACCCGCGGGCGGGCGAGAGAGCGGGGCGGGGGAAGGGGGCAGGAGAGAGGCAGAGGAATAGAGATGAAGATTTTTATGTGCGGGCTCAAGGGAGGAAAAACACGGGAACCCCAAAAATGGGTTCCCACCTCCGCCTCTGAAAAAGCCACTTTTCAGTTGTACGTGATTAATTACGCAGCCAGAAATGAGTGTGGGAAACAAGTATGCCGCAAACCATGCCGCATAATGTTTCAAACGTCACCGAAGCAATTGTGATCCTGACGGTGCTGCTGATGGTGCTGTCGCTGGTGGTGGTGCTGCTGGTGGCGCTGTCGGTGCTGATGGTGCAGCTTGTGATCCTGGCGGCGATGCTGTTGGTGCTGTTGCTGATGGCGGTGCTGCAGCTGGTGCGTCTGGCGCTGACGGCGCTGCTCATGTTACAAGGCAGACAGAAGCAGCGACAGAGCGCAGGAACGGCACGCCAGCGGCGGCGTACAGAAACCAGCAGAGCCCCCCTGCAAGAATGAGGGCATCCAAAAAATGGATGCCCTTGTAGCCACATAAAAACACAGAGAGCGAGAGAGAGAGAGAAAGAGAGAGAGAGAGAGAGAGAGAGAGAGAGAGAGAGAGAGAGAGAGAGAGAGAGAGAGAGAGAGAGAGAGAGAGAGAGAGAGAGAGAGAGAGAAAGAGCTGCTGCTGCTTCTGCTGGTGCCTCCCGTTGCCGCTAGCGCTCAGGCCTCCGCAGGGTGCTCAAACCCCCTCAAAGTTCTCCGCGGTAGTCTTCTACCCGTGGCTTTCGAGTACGCCTTCGCGCCGCGCGCCATGCCTGGCCACGTTGGCCACGTCTTGCCGCCAGACGCGGCGTGGCGCAGGCTGGCTCGCACGCAGGCTCAAAGCATCGCAAAGGGATTCTATTGGAAAGCCTCACAAAAGGAATCCTTCGGAAAGCATCACAAGGGAATTCTATTGGAAAGCCTCACAAAAGGAATCCTTTGGAAAGCGCCACAAAGGGATTCTATTGGAAAGCCGCACAAAGAAATT